AGCCGCCAAGCCTCCAGAGAGCTTACTGCGCCGCCGCAGCTGATGGCAGTTAGCAAGTCCGCGAGGGTCCCGGGCTGTCTTGCTGCTCCAGCGCTGCTTGGCTCTCTCCTAGAGGAGATGGTGTCTGGTCGCGTTATAAGGCTGCCGGCGCTCCAGTCCTCAGCAGCGGGGGCGGGGATTCTTCCCCAGAATCCACAGTGGTGGCAGTTGGAACGGAGGGAGGCTGCCTCACCAGCTGCTGGGACAGGCAATGATGGTTCTTCTCTCCCCCAGAATCCACAGTGGTGGCAGTTGGAATGGAGGGAGGCTGCCTCACTAGCTGCTGGGACAGGCAATGATGGTTCTTTAAGAAAGGGTTCTCTTGAACTATCTGCAGCTGTTGGCCCCAAGACCTTTCCCCCACTCAGGTCTGCTTCTTCTGCCCCCACACCGATTGACAAAGGACCCAAATTCTGCCCAATACATTTCCTTAGATTTGAACTGATGAAAAGGAATCAGTAAAGACCTGGCTTAGCTTTCAAAATCAGACAAGAATCAGTGATATGACAAATAAAGTCTCACGCAGGAACCATAGAGGCATGTAAGAGGTCCCCACCTTTGATACCATCACAGTAGGACAGGAGGTGATCCTTACATTGGTGAAGAGCTAATCTGCTTTCTCCTTTGCTTTGCTTTGCTCTTCACACCTGCTCAGTAAGGGATTTTGGAGGCAACTGGTGTTCACCTGGCCTGTTGTAAGTATGCACACACACAACTACAGTGGACCCCCTAGAGCAGAATCCCATTCTTTCCCAGGTCAATCTCTATTGCATTGTTTACTACAGACAAGCTGCTGTAATTCAGCACTGGAAGTCTTTCTCCAGTCCTCCTTCACCATCCTCTATTGCTGCAAATAAACCTTCCAGATAGACAGTAGACAAGAAAAGGTGGGTGGTATTTGGGCTTTTGTAAAAAGATTTGTAAAAAGGAGCTTCTTTGTCAGAGGATTTAACTAAGCTTATATCTGTAATTATTAAATGAGGCCCATATTGCACAGAACAGATCAAATGGGAGGCAAGATGCATCTTTTTGTGTTTTCTTACACACACACACACACAAAAGGAATCTGCCACAGCTTTCCAAGAACCTCTGGACAAGGACTCTGGGGAGGCTCATACCTACAATTCTTATCTGAGCTGAATAATAATAATAATAATAATAAATTTTATTTATAGCCCACCCCTCTGCGGAACAATCGGGGCGGGTTACGTCAATTAAAATACACAAGTTGAAAACATTCACATGCCCATCCAACCCTCCCGCCCCTTAAAACAGTATT